GGGCTCCCCCTGCAGCCGGCCCCGGCCCCGGCCCCGGCCCCGGCCCGCTCCGGAGGCGCGAAGCTCCGACCTCCTGTCAGCCCGCCTCGCCTCGCAGCCTTCAAAAGCGCCTTCCCACGGGCAGCGAAGTGCTGGTCCCTGCCGCCCCCGCCTGCCAGCCCGGCTGCAGAGGGACCGTGCCCCTTCAGAGGGGCCCACCCAGGCCGCAGAGCATCTCCTGGGGGTGCCTCTCGCTCGGAACCCCACCTGCCCTCTGCGGAGAGCCTCCCTCCGTGGAAGGGGAGGCCTCCCCCCTGCACAGCATTATCAGAAGAGTCCAGGCTCGATGGTCGTGCACAAAACCCTGGGCCAGCTGCGAGGGCCTGGTGAGAGAAGTGGTTGGTTGGGCCTTGACGCATACCTGCCTTGGGTTCCTTTTTGCATCGTGAGGAACTACCGGAGCAGGGTGCCAGTGCCCCACTGTCGCAGGGGCTGTACAAGTGCAGGACAAAAGGATGCCCCCACCCCCGATGAAGTTACAGTTCGCTTTTGGGAAAATGGGCTGTGTTTGGGTAAAGGGAGGTCAGTGAAAGAGCGTAAGGAAGAGATGAAGCATCCTTATGCAGTGGAATAGGTGGGCGTTTCAGCATACCAGCCACCTAATGATTACCGTGGTTATTGTCAGCACCCTGGCAAAAGAAGCATTTGGAGGGATGGGGTAATTTCATGAATGTGAGCTGGGTATGCCTTCAGGGCATAAAGGATAGCATGGAAAAGTGTTTTCTGTAACTTAACAAAAGACCTGGGGAAGCCGGTATGTTCACTGATGGATGTGGTTAGAGTTAGTAGCTAAGTTAGGAGGACAGGACTGGTGATGAAGGATCTTTAGAGTGAAGTTACCTAGTTTACCCTTGAAATGACAACAGATAGGGGCTCAATGAAGAGATGCCAAGAATGGGGTGACATGGCTACAACACCACCCATTGTTGTAAACAACATCATGTTGTTGTAACATTGCTGTAAACAAACACGTTTTTTATTGCAGGAGGCCTTACGGGCTCCCCCACTCAAGACCTTCTCATTTTGGGGAGTCTGTGAAGCACAGCGTTTGGTTGCGCCAATCCACAAGTAGTGCTGCT